TCCTCTGTTTTCAAAGAGAAGGAAGCCAGGGCAGGCAGAAAAATGGATAAACCATGAGAATCTTGAGGGAACTTAAGGCGTGGTTCCAAGTGTTCCGGAGGCCCAGCTATACCCCAGACCTTCCAGAAGCTAAGTTGTTTTGTAAGAGTCCACAGTATATATTTAATCGATTCCTTTCTAAGTGCTTTTATTTAAAAAAGATTTCCTTTCACTTTTATCTGAGAGAGTTCTAAGTACTTTAAGTAAATTAATCATCTGGTGGTACTGTAAACATTGTAAGAAGATAGCCATGAGGATGAGGACATTTCTCCCATGGCCACTGAAAGTTTAATAGGTTTGTAAACCAAAAATAAATTCCTAAGCTCCCCTCAACCGACAAAATAGATCCCTTCTTGGCCAAGAAGACCCCAAAGAAATCTGAAAGATTGAATTCCTGCCATAACAGCAAGAGAGTTTGGACATACCTGATTATGTCCCCTCCCTTTTGGAGTTTAGGCAGAACTGACCATCATCAACATTAAAATAGAGATCTCAAGACTGAAAAAACAGACTATTTGTGGTAGTAAGATATCAAATTCCAACCTGACTCTGGTATAGCACTGCATGATAAATGGCAGACCCTGAGAAAAATCAAAGTATTTTACCCCAAAATATATGTATTTGACATATTTTGAAATTGCTCTGCAAAGTCATCTTTTGTGGGGGAAATTTGCATCTGTATTGAATCTCCATGAATGCAGCCAGGCCTTCCCTTTCCAAGCCTTTCCTGGATCTAGGAGAGATTAACTAAGAGTCTGATATATTTCAAGATCTGAAAAAAAGACATTTACCATCTATTCTCTCTGAAAGCTGCTACCTATTAACTTCATCTTCAAAACAAGATCTTTGGTCTCCATAAGCTACTTTATCTTAACTCAAGCATTTTTTTCTGCTGACTTCAAATCTTTAGACAAAGCTTAACTCTTTCAACCAATTGCCAACCAGAAAATCTTTGAATCCACCTAGGACCTGTAATCCCACCCCTCCTCACCCCCATCTCACTGCCCACTTCAAGATATCCCATCTCTTTAGGCTGAACGAATATAGACTTTTCATGTCTTTAGTGTTTTACCTGCAATTCCCATCTCCCTAGAATGTATAAAACCAAACTGTAACCCAACTGCCTGGGGCACTCTTTCTCAGAAGCTCTCAAGACTGTTCCCTGGGCCATGGTCACTCATAATCGGCTTAGAATAAACCTCTTTAAAATATTTTACAGAGTTTGGGGTTTGTTTGTTTGTTTGTTTTTTACATCAACAGGTTATAGACTCAAGACAGGTATTTCTACTGAAGGGTCAAAAGAAAGTACATTTAGCAAACCAAAAAGCATAAAAATATTATGCTATTAGCCATGGCACAAAAATAGACAAAGATAAAGCCACTAATGTTGCAGAACTTTCTTTGTTAAAAATAAAGAGGGGGAAAAAGTAGAGAAGTAAAGAAGGAATAATAGATCCCAATCAACAGGAATAAACCATTTAAACTCTCTTCTGTAACCTCCTCAGTTTTATGTAAAAAAGAAAAATCTATTTAGCTCTGATGTTAAAAAATGTCAACAGTAATTCACAAATTTTTTAAAGTCCTGAAAATATGACAAAGATTATTTTCATACTAAACACAACTGTCAAAAATGGAGATCTTACAGCTTAGCTGCAACAATATAACCAGACTGAATATTTCAGAATATTCTTATTGGTTAATCGTTTGTGTTTATGATAATTGTCACCAGCTCTCAGAAGTGACCTGTGAAGTCTAAGACATATCCTGTGCTTTTTAGATACTAAAATATATAAAACTGTTGTGTGACAATTAAAGAAAGCAAAATCAAATTGCTGTTATTTATTTCTGTATGGCTTTTAATTTAAATTTGCTACGCAGCTCAAGATCCAACTCATATTTATTTTAGTTTTAAAGTCTACTTCATTTCACACCAATAGTTCGCTTTATTATGAATATTTCCTTTACTATGTGAAAGGAAAATATCTTGGCCCCAAAATCACTAAGCTAAAGGGAAAAGTCAAGCTGGGAACTGCTTAAGACAAACCTACCTCCCATTCTATTCAAAGTCACCCCTCTGATCACTGAGATAAATGCATATCTGATTGCCTCCCTTGGGGAAGTTCACCAGATACTCAAAAGAATGCAACCATTTGTCTCTTATCTACCTATGACCTGGAAGCCCCCTCCCCACTTCGAGTTGTCCCGCCCTTGCAGACAAACCAATGTTCATCTTACCTATGTTGATTGATGCCTCATGTCTCCCTAAAATGTGTAAAATCAAACTGTGCTCTGACCACCTTGGTCAGACCACCTAATGACCACATATCATTAGGACCTTGTGAGACTGTGTCACAGGTGTGCATTCTTAATCCTGGCAAAATAAACTTTCTAATTTAACTGAGACTTGTCTCAGATTTTTGGGGTTCACAACTGTGATTTACTATAATATGTATGTGTGTGTGTATACACACATACATATATAAAATCATATATGTACATATATATATTTCAAGTAATAAATACAAAACATTTTTGACAGGTACAGAAAATGGTCATTAATGTTTTCCAGCTGCCACATGGTATGTCACCAAAAGAGCCACTGGCCCCACAGAATAAAGCAACACCTATGCAAGTAACCCAGCAGCCTTTCTGGACTGAGATTCTTTCAGTTCCATTAAAGCATATAAGCCCCGGCTTATTCCAACTCTTACTGTACATACAAATTCCATACAATGAAAATGTTAAGAAAAAATAGGGCTTACATCATGCAGCTCTCCCTTTAACAGTACCAGCAGAATACGCACCAAAGAATCTGCTCTGCTCTCCCTTGACCAAACCCTTAAGTCAAGGATGGGCAGTGGGGTCTCGTGAAAGCCATGAGCTTTATACACCCATGTTTACAGCAGCATTACTCACAACAGCTAAAACGTGGAGGCAACCCAAGTGTCCGTCAATGTTTGAGGGATATGCAAAATGTGGTACAACAGAATGCATCCAGCCCTTATAAAGGAAGGAAATTCTGACATAGGCTAAAACATGGATGAACCTTGCGGATATCATGCTAGATGAAATAAGCCAATCACAAAAAGGCAAATACTGTATGATTCCACTTATCTGAGATACTTATTCAGAGTAGTCAAAATCATGGAGATAGACAGGAGAATGATGGTTAGATGGGGGCTGGGGGCAGGGAGGAATGGGGAGTGGTTTAAGAGATACAAGGTTTCTGTTTTGCAAGATGAGTGGTCTGGAGATGGATGGTTGTGATGGTTGCACATTATGCCACCGAACAGTACACTTAGAAATGGTTGAGACTGTAAATTTTATGTTATGTGTATTTACCACCATTTTTAAAATTGGGAAAAATAAATATCCACCAATAACAGAATGATTAGAGGAGCTATGCTATATCCTTTTTTGTGTGACACGGTTTTGTCAGTCATGGTTCAACTAAAGAAACAAAACCAGTAGGAACACATACTAAGAGACTTATGGCAAGGAATATGTATATGCAACTGTCAGGCTGGCTAGGTAGTCTGAGAACCACAAAGCAGGCCATCAGGGAGAGAAGTCTGGAACTGTCAGGCACGAACTGGTGCTGCTGTCTACAGGCAGAATTCCTTTTTCTTCAGGGAAGACTCAGCTCTGCTCTTAAGAACTTTCAAATGATTGATTCAGGCCCATCCAGATTATCTAGGACAATCTCCCTTACTCAAAGTCAACAGAATATAGATTTTAATCACATTTACAAAAATGTCTACTGATTGAACAATGGAAACTGTATCCTAGCCAAGTTGATGTATAAAACTGACAATCACAATCATATATGTTAATATATATAAATATATTGTGATCCAGATGCACTGTGTGTGTGTGTGTGTGTGTTTGTGTGTGTGTGTGTGTGGGGCTATACTGACAGAGTTTGGGAAGGATTCACACTAAATAGCTAACAATGGTTACTATTGAGGAACAGTGTGAAAATAGGGAAGTGCAGGAACAGAGAGAAAATTGAAAGTAGAGTGATCTAGGGCAAAAAGAAAATTCATGTTTTGCTCTTTATAGTTTCAATTTTTAAGCCTTTTATCATATAAGGCTTATAATCATATATAAGATATGATTATATCTTACATATCTTATATATGAATATATCATAAGATCATATAATAAATCACATGTCTGTGGGTGTGTGTGGTTTTTTTTTAAGAGACAGGGTTTCACCCAGGCTGAAGTGCAGTGGCATAATAATAGCTCACTACAGCCCCAAACTCCCAGGCTCAGGCAATCCTCTGGCCTCAGCCTCCTGAGTAGATAGGACTACAAATCCACACCACCATGCACGTCACATCGGACCCATTTTTTAGCACTCTAATCTAATGGACTTGTTGGATATGAGTTCTAAATTTCTTTTCAAAGAATCAGTGTATGTTCAATTCTTTGCCTTCTACTTTTAAACTTAACTTCCTTGTAAAGTCACCTTTTTTGATTATCTGCTCCACCCTCACTCATTCTGATTACCTACTCCACCCTGACTCATTCCGATTACCTGCTCTGTCATAACCATTTTTCCTGCCAAACCACTCATCACCCTGTCACTCTCTTTAAATTAGCCAATCAGAATTAGTTTAGCCTGCACAGTCTAACCCTAGCCAATAGGGGAACGACACAGCAGCAGGGGCCATGTGGGCCAGGGATAAGAACCCCTTCCCCTCCCCTGTCCAAGTGTGTGCTCACCATTGCTCCATCTGTAAGGGCACACCCTTCTATAGAAGTAGCTTGCCTTGCTGAGAATTAAAAACAAAATTTTATAGTTGAATGTTATTTCTTTTGCCACACCAAAACTTTATTTATAACAATATGGGGGCTCACCCATGATTACGTTCTCCTCCAGGGGCAGTCTCTGGTTCTCTCTCCTGAGGAGGCCGCCCTGTCCACTTGGGATGGCGTCAGGGGTGAGAAATCAGGACCCACTCAGTGCCAGGAATAACCCAAGTTCTCATCAACGTGGAAAGAAACTGGCCAGCAACCTAGCTTAAAAGATCCTCACATACTGCAGCGATGACTCTGTGAGCAGACCAAGGAAAGAGAAGCCGCAGGAGCTGGTAAAGTATTTCCTTGGTGGTCGGGACTAAGCAAAAAGCCATGGGTTGGTAAAGCATTCCTTGATTAGGACATACCAAGGAGAGAGAAACCACAGGGGTGGTAAAGCATTCCTTAGTCTGGACTAGGGAAAGAAAGCCGTGGGGGGTGGTGAAGTATTCCTTAGTTGGGATGTCTTGGAGGTTAAAAAGAAGTGAGAAATCCTCATGGTGGGGTCTGGGGGTGTTGAACCTCAGAAAGAGGTGAGAAATACCCATGGAGGGGGCTGAACCTCAAAAAAAGGTGAGAAATCCCCATGGAGGGGGCTGAACCTCACACAGACCTCTGGTAGCAGGAAAAATATTCAGAATCCCCCTTTCCTTTCTTTTTGGAGGAAGAAAGAGTAGCTCCTCTCCCACCAGTCCCTCCCCTAGGGGAAGGGGAAGGAGAGGGGAGAACAGCAGCACAAGCAGCTGGCAGAGGCAGGGAAAGACCAGCAGAGAGGAAAGAGAAAGAGAGAGTGAGAGGGTGAGAGAAAGAGAAGAGACAGAGAGAGAGAGAGAGAGAGAGGAGAGAGAGAGGGGAGAGAGAGAGGAAAGAGAGAGAGAGAGAAAGAGAGGCAGAGAGAGAGGAAGAGAGAGAGAGACAAAGAGGAGTCAGAGAGAGAGAGAGAGAGGCAGAGAGAGAGGAAGAGACAGAGAGATAAAGAGGGAGTCAAAGAGAGAGAGAGAGAGAAAGTCAAAGAGAGAAAGAGAGAGATAGAAGTAGTAAAGAGAAAACAGTGTACCCTATTCCTTTAAAAGCCAGGGTAAATTTAAAACCTATAATTGATAATTGAAGGTCTTCTCCATGACCCTATAACACTCCAATGCCACCTTGTTGTCAGTGTGAACTAAGGCGTAGCCTGAAATCACTGAGGCCACTGACAACCCATAGCCTTCCTAATCAAAAATCCTTAACTCAGTAACCCGTGAATGGCCCAAATGCATTCAATCTGTAGCAGCAACTGCTTTGCTAACAGAAGAAAGTAGAAAAATAACTTTAAGAGGAAACCTCATTGTGCGCACACCTCATCAGGTCAGAACTATCCTAAGTGGGAAAAAAAAAAAGCAAAAAGGTAGCTTACTGACTCAAGAACTTTAAAGTATAAGGCTATTCTGTTAGAAAAAGATGATTTAACATTAACTACTGAAAATTCCCTTAACCCAGCAGGTTTCCTAACAGGGTATCTAAATCTTAATTACCATACCAAGGTCCAACCGGACCTAGGAGGAACTCCCTTCAGGACAGGACTATAGATGGTTCCTCCCGGGTGATTGAGGGAAAAAGACACAATGGGTATTCAGTAAGTGATAAGGAAACTCTTGTAGAAGCAGAGTCAGGAAAATTGCCTAATAATTGGTCTGCTCAAACTTGCGAGCTGTTTGCACTCAGCCAAGCCTTAAAGTACTTACAGAATCAGGAAAGAGCCATTTATACCAATTCTAAGTTAATATGGACTGAACGAGGTCTTATTAACAGCAAAGAATAATGGAAATCCCAAACTTACAAGGTTTTCAACAAAAGTAAAGTTCGCTGAACAGTGTAACATGTATTATCCTAACTTGTAATCTTGTGGCCTTAGTCTAGTCCACAGACATGAAGGAATTTCACTTTGGAAAAGAATGGTTATCATCTTTGAGGAAAAAAAAGGGGGGGGAATTTATGTAAAAAGGAATGTTATATGGTAAATTCTTATCCTAAAATAAATTAACTGATTGTTTAAAGAAAGAGATGTTTGCAATGTCAGAAAGTTGAGGCATGTCAAAGAAATGTCTGTAAAAGTCGTGAAAAAAAAAAGTTATAAACGGGAATTTATGTGAGAAATGTTGTATAATTTAAAAGTAATTAGGCCTCCTGAATGTAAAACTATTGAAAAAACAGTTTATGTGCAAGGTATATATCTTGGACTTCCCAGCCACCAGACCCATGAACCAATACATTTGTGTTCACTATAAATTGCTCGGTCTGTGGTATTGTTATAACAGCACAAAATGGACTAAGATAGGAGTGAACTACAATTCAATTCTGACACAAACCACGCAGAGTTAGCATCAAACTCTGCAGGTTTTGAAATTCAGTTACAAGTAGGGTCCCCAGCCCCTCACATTTCTGACACACTGGCTTCAAATTCAGAGTTCTCACTATCTCCTCAGGTTTGATAACTTACTAGAATGACTCAAATAACTCAAGAAAGTGCTATACTTATTATTACAGTTTTATTTTAAAGGATACACATAGGGCAAAGTCTGGGAGAGTCCAGGACAACAGCTTCCATGCCCTCTCCCCATGGAGTCAGGCTATGACACCCTCTCAGCATATTGATGTATCCGCCAGCCAGGAAGCTCCCCCAAGTCTCCATGAGCAGAGTTTTTATTGGAGTTTTATTACTTAGGTATGATTGATTAAATCATTGGTCACATAACTGAACTCAGTCTCCAAACTTCCCCTCCCTAGAGGTCAAGTGGCTAAAAGTTCTAACCCTCTAATCCTATTCTTGGTCTTTTTGGAGGGCAATTCCCATCCTGAAGCTATCTAATGGCCCACAGTGAGTCATCTAATTAGTATAACAAAACCATTCCCATCACACAGAAAATTCAAGCATTTTGAAGCGATTTTTAGGGAAGCATAGACAAATACTTTTCTTTTTTTTAAGAGACAGGATCTTGCTGTGTTTCCCAGGCTGGAATGCAGTAGGGCAGTCATAGCTCACTGCAGCCTTGAACTTGTAGGCTCAACTTAATACATTAGTTAAAAATTAAAAATTGAAAGGTCACAGTGAAACATCAGAGCATCTGGAACACAGAGAAAAATCGTAAAAACCTTCATTTAAAAAAGGACAGATTACTTGAAGTTCCAGGTAGAGTAATCAGATAAGAGAAATAAATAAAGGACATCCAAATTGGAAAGGAGGAAATCAAATTATCTTTGTAGATGATATAATCTTACACTTGGAAAAACCTAAAAATTCCACCAAAAAACTATTAGAACGGACAAACAAATTCAGTAAAGTTGCAGGATACAACATCAACATACAAAAAGCAGTAGCATTTCTATATGGCAACAACAAACAATCTGAAAAAGAAATTTAAAAAAAGTAATACCATTTATAATAGCTATGAATAAAATGCCTAGGAATTAACCAAAAAAGTGAAAGATCTCTACAATGAAAACTATAAAACATTAATGAAAAAAATTGAAGAGGACACAAAAAAATGGAAAGATAGTTCATGTTCATGGATTGAAAGAAAAATATTGTTAAACTCTCCATACTACCCAAAGCAATCTACAGAGTCAGTGCAATCCATATCAAAATAACTAATTACATTCTTCACAGAAATGGAGAAAACCATCTTAAAACATATATGGAACCGCAGAAGACCCAGAATAGCCAAAGCTATCCTGGAGGGGGTGGGGAGACAAATATAAACAACAACAACAACAACAACAACAAAAACTGGAGGAATCACATTACCTGACTTCAAATTCAATTACAGAGAGCTATCATAGCCAAAACAGCATAGTACTGGTATAAAAGCAGACACATAAACAAATAGAACAGAATAAAGAACCCAGAAACAAATCCATACATCTACAGTAAACTCATTTTCGACAAAGATGCCAAGAACATACTCTGGGGAAAGGACAGTTTCTTCAATAAATAGTGCTTCGAAAACTGGATATCCATATTCAGAAAAATGAAACTAAACCCCCATCTCTTGCCAGATACAAAAATCAAATCAAAACATATTAAAGACATAAATCTAAGACCTCAAACTATGAAACCACTAAAAGAAAACTTTGCGGAAACTCTTCAGGACATTGGACTGAGCAAAGATTTCTTGAGTAATACCCCATAATCACAAGCAACCAAAGCAAAAATGGACAGATGGGATCACATCAAGTTAAAAAGCTTCTGCATGGCAATGGAAACAAAGAGAAGAGGGAACCCAAAAAATGGGAACAAATATTTGCAAACTATCCATCTTACAAGGGACTAATAACAACAATATATAAGGAGCTCAATCAACTTAATCAGAAAAATCTAATAATCTGATTAGAAAATCGGCAAAAGATCTCAAGAGACATTCCTCAAAAGAAGACATACAGATGGTAAACAGATTTATAAAAAGGTTCTCAATATCATCAATCATCAGAGAAATGTAAATCAAAACTACACTGATGTATCATCTCACCTTAGTTAAAATGGCATACATCCAAAAGACAGGTAATAACAAAGGCTGGCAAGGCTGTGGAGAAAAGGGAATCCTTGTACACTGTTGGTGGGAATGTAAATTAGTACTATGCAGAACAGGTGGAAGTTCCTCAAAAAACTAAAAAGAGAGTTACCATATGATTCAGAAATCCCACTGCTGGGCATATACACAAAAGAAAGGAAATTGATATGTTGAAGAGATATATGCACTTGCATGTTTACTGAAGCACTACTCACAATAGCCAAGATTTGGAATTAACCTAAGACTCCATCAACAGATGAATGGATAAAGAAAATGCAGTGCATATACAAAATGGAGTACCATTTGGCCATAAAAAAGAATGAGATCCTGTCATTTGCAACAACATGGATGGAACTGGAGGACATTATGTTAAGTGAAATAAGCCAGGCACAGAAAGACAAACTTCACATGTTCTCACATATTTGTGAGAGCTAAAAGTTAAAACAATTGAATTCAGAGATAAAGGGTAGAATTATGATTACCAGAAGCTAGAAAGGGTAGTAGGGGTGGGGGGTGGGAATGGGGATGGTTAATGAGTACAAAAGTATAATTATGTAGAATAAACAAGATCTAGTATTTGACAGCAAAACAGGGTGCCTACAATTTATTATACATTTTTAAATAACTAAAAGAGCATAACTGGATTGTTTGTAACACAAAGAAAGGATAAATGCTTGAGGTGATAGATAACCCATTTACTCTCATACAGTTATTATACATTATATGCCTGTATGAAAATATCTCATGTACTCCATAAATATGTACACCTACTATGTATCCACAAAAGTTCAAAATTTAAAAATTTAAATGACAGATTAACTGTAAAGAAATGCCTATCATGTGGGTAGCAGAGCACTCACAAAAATAAGCAAAAATGAATGCTAAAAGATCATGGGGAAATATCTTCAATGTACCCAAAGTAAAGAACTCTAAACCTAAACTTCTACACATAATAAACTATCATTGAAGAAAGAAAAGATAATTAAGCACATATCCAGACATTTAAAAAAAAAAAAAAACAAGAGTTTATACCTCACTGACATTTGCAAAGAAACTACTGAAGAATGGGCATCAGGAACAAAACTGATTCAAGGAGGGAGAGAAATGCAATGGTGAGCAAATAAATTCAAAAGCATATTGCTGAACTAAATTAAGTATCAACACTGAAAATAACAAACACAGTAACTTTCATCTAGTGTTTCAAAATCAAAGTGGAATTAAAATTCTATATAACAGTAACATGGAAGTTGGGTGTTTCAGCAAAAATTAAAAATATTATAAATATTTTTGTTCATTTTAGAATAGAATTTAGTAAGTAACTTTAGAATTTGTTAGAGAAATAAGAAGCTGACATATATGTTAAAAATTCAAGAGTAACTTTTAAAGCAAATCACAGAAATAAAGAAAACCACCCTAATCCAGCAAAAGGGGCAAAGAATAACAACAGAAAAAGCAGGTAGGGATAAAGTCATGGTAGACAACACAAAACAGGATAATAGAAATAATTCCAAAAATAAATCATAGGCTGGGCGCAGTGGCCCAGGCCTATATTCCCAGCACTTTGGGAGGCCAAGGCAGGGGGATCACTTGAGCCAGAGTTCAAGACCAGCCTGGGCAAGATAGTGAGATCCTGTCTCTACCAGAACAAAAAATAAATAAAAATAAATTGTACATCTGTAGTTCTGCTACAGGGGAAGCTGACGTGAGAAGATTGTTTGAGCCTGAGAGGTCAAGGCTGCAGTAAGCTATGATAGTACCACTGCACTCTAGCCTGAACAACAGCAAAACCCCCTCTCAAAAAGTTCAAATGGGTGTAAAACACTGATTAGGAGACAAACTTTAAAATTAAGTGTTTTTAAAATTTTTTAAAAATAAGATACATACGTAAAACAAACCAATGCTAAATGCTTACAAATAAAGACATAGAAAAATACACCAAAAGTAATAAATTGTCCTGATTTAGTGATATTTTTAAGCACCAAATATTTAATGAGGTAAAGAGAGACATTTGATACTGAGAAAAGGAGAAATTTCCAAGAAGATCATAAGCAAAATATCCTAGAATATAATGGAAACAAACAGAATTACAAGGATAAATTAACAAATTCACAATTATGGTAAACGATTTTACATCTCTCTCATTCAGAAATTGATAGGAAAGCAGATAAAAGATATAGAAATGTGTAGCACATTTATGGAGAAAGGATCTTGTACCCAAAAGAATAAATATTTTCAAGTATATAGAGATTTACATATATTAGACCAGAAAAGATATAATAATAAAAGTAATATAATAAAATCATAAATAAAAATAAAATATAACCAAGAAAATTCAGTAGTTTTAGAAATCATCCTACTTTAAAATAATCTGTGTCACTTCTAGGCCATGTTACAGCTGTACCCATAGCAGAGTCTAGAGCTCTGAAACAAACAGGAAAGGGTTGCACAGTAACTCAGATAGCAGAGGAGCTCATAGAACATTTGGCCTGATTTAATTTCCTAAAAGCTGAATTCCTTCTATAGAATGATACAGAAAAGCCGAAAAGAGAGTAATGAATGGTAGTCTTTTTCAATTGACCTACTAAACCCACACAAGCATTAGTAATCTGGATATCTGAATTACTGAAATAAAATAATCAGAATAGTTCATCTAGAATGAGGAGAGTAGATTAAACCAGATCCTGAAACACATACATGTTTTACTATAGAACTTAGTACTTTGTAGTGACTGATTTGTTGAGTAATTGTAGACATTTAGTTGCTGTGCTTTAAGAAGGTAAAAAAAAAAAAAAAAAATTCCGCTGATGTGTAATAAAGAAACACCCTCAGGCTGGGCACAGTGGCTGGGGTCTGTAATAACAGCATTCTGGGAGGTCAGGGTGGCAGGATCACTTGAGTCCAGGAGTTTGAGACCTGCCTGAACCACATGGCATGACCACATCTCTGAAAAAAAAAAATATATGTATATATACATATATACATACATATATACATATATATATATGTATATGTGTGTATATATATATTTTTTTAAGATAGCCAGGCGTAGTGGCATGCAACTTTAGTCCCAGCTACTTGGAAGGCTGAGGCAGGAGGATCACTTGAGCTCAGCTCAGGAGTTGGAGGCTGCAATGAGCCATGATCATGCCACTACACTCCAGCTTGCGTGACAGAGTACAACCCTGTGAAAGAAGGAAGGAAGGAAGGAGAGAGAGGGAAAGAGAGAAAGATAAGAAAGAGAAAGGAAGGAAGGAAGGAAGGAAGGAAGGAAGGAAGGAAGGAAGGAAGGAAGGAAGGAAGGAAGGAAGGAAGGAAGGAAGGAAGGAAGGAAGGAAGGAGAAAGAGAGAAAGAGAAAGAAAGAGGGAGAGAAGGAGGGAGGGAGGGAAGGAGGGAGGGAAGGAAGGGAGGGAGGGAGGAAGGGAGGGAGGGAGGGAGGGAGGGAGAGAAATATAGATAGGGCAGCGAGAGGGCCTGGGTTTAGACTTGCTCCGTTGTATAACCCCCTAACTCTGACTTTTCATCTAAAATGCTTAGGAGAGCAGCTGAGCTATTCTCTCCTTAACGTGGATGTGGTCCAAGGAATGGAATTCCAAAATTGGTTACTCCATCTATTGACTTTAAATGTGATCCAGCTGCTACTAAGTTTATGGCTCATGAATGATAAACTCAAGAGGCAGCTATAACCAGGACTTGGAACATGCAAACATGAAAGACACAAGAAATCCTCAGTCCAATTTACCATATTTCTTTAAAAATAGAAAACTGATGCCATCTTGTGGTTATTTTAATAAGGTCACTCTTAAACGACTAAAATTTTGCAAGGCTAACAAAATCTCTTCTTCCTTTCTCCTTTAAAATATTGTTAAATCTATTTTCCCTGGACTTTAGATGTACTTTCCTTATAATCTGGAGATTTCGTTAAAATGCTGCATCTACCCACATGGAAACACAATTACTATTAAAGTATTAATGATAAGTGATTGCTAACCATGGAAAATCACCAAGCAATTTTCATAGTTCTAGAAAATGCATGACCTGGCTTTCAAGAACTGAGTTCAGTGCATGTTAAAAGGGAGGATTTTCATTAAAATGGTGACATGGACACATGGGTTCCCCCTTCCTGGGAACTGCAGAACAGACCAAAGAAATTGAGCAAAAAGGAGACAAGCTTACAAAAATGCTGGAGACTGGAGGCGGTACCATTCATATCTCACAAATTTTGGAGAGTTTCTTCCAGATAGAATTAAGAGGAAATCAGATTTTTAAAATGATCCCATGGACTACTCATAATTGCTGGGATAAATGGTGCAGGCAAGTCCTCTAAACATGACTAGATAGATGCATTTGTTTTATCCACAGATTCCCATTATCATTAAAAGAATGTATATATCAGTCCTCAAAAGTATGCTTTCTTAGCCAAAATTACCAATGGTAATTTACATATATGAATACAAAATACATTAACATGAAAAGAGATACTGTTAATATATTCTTCTGAAATGATAAATAAAATAACAAAATATATCCATATGACACCTATAGACGTATGCATGGCTTGTATGTGGGAGGCGTGGATGAGGATAGAGAATGACTTGGGTATGAGACTTTTAAAATACAGTTTGACTAAATCAAACAGCTCAGAACCACTCCCATGGAACACAGAAACTGAACAGACCTTTCACTATCCCAAAATATTACTGAACTGCTCCCTACCCTGAGTCTCCCAGAGTATCACAAAAACTTTCCTTTTTGTATGTTCATGACATTGAGCAATGGCTAAATAGCTGGTATTGTTTCTGGGTGTGTCTGTGAGGGAGCTGCCAGAGGAGACTGACATTTGAGTGGGTGGACTGGGAAAGGAAAACCCACCATCAATATGGGTGGGCACCATCCAATCGGCTGCCAGCGAGGCTAGAACAAAGCAGGTGGAAGAAGGTGGGGTAAGCAGCCTGCTGAGTCTTCTGGCTCTTTCTTCTTCCCAGGCTGGCTGCTTGCTGCCGCTCCTCCTGTCCTTGTACATCAGACTCCAGGTTCTTTGGCCTTTGGACTCTGGGACTGGCCCCAGTGGCTTACAGGGGGCTCTTGGGCTACACGGTCAGCTTCCCTGGTTTTGAGGCTTTCAGACTTGGACTGAGCCACTACCAGCTTTTCTCTCTACCCAGCCTGCAGATGGCCTATCGTGGGACTTCACCTTGTAATCACGTGAGCCAATTCTCTCTAATAAACCCCATTTTATATATACACATATCCTGTTGGTTCTTTCCCTCTGGAGAGCCCTAATATAATAACCTATCCCTTGATCCAGTAACCTAGATTACACTCTTCTTGCCTCAGAGCTGTTATCACTTCAGCTAAATTAGTTGAACAGCTTCAGTTCTTGTACTGGGATGACCGTCAAATCTGAAGATAGCACATGCAGTACAATCTCCATTGATAACTAAAAGCACTGCAACTCCAGTCAGTTGGTTAACTATGAAATAGGAGTCCTTTCTCCTCATATTTCTTAATACTTTTTATTTTTTAAAAAAGTAGAGACAGGGTCTTGTGTATTGCCCAGGCTGGTCTCGAACTCCTGGCCTAAAGCAATCCAGGCTATGCTCCTTCTTGCTCCAAACCACCTGGCACTAACCAGTAGGATGGTTTCTGCCAACTGTGTGGCCAATCTGGCAGCTACTGTGAAGTCTGGGAGACTGCTTCTCAGACCCCTGGTTCCAGTTTCAGCCTTTCCCCACCAAGGACCGGAACTGGTGCATGGTGAGATCAAGGGAGCAAGGGCAGAGTGCAAATCACATTCCAAATTCAAGGACACAGCATGCCATCTCTTCTCCCCAGGCTCATCCAGGCTCTAAGACTTTCATGCACCTTTACTCTCAAAGCCTCTTGGTCAACACAGGCACTCAGACTAAGTTAACAAACAAAAACACACCTTGGTGCTGCAGTCCCAAAGACAGTTTGGCCAGGGTGTATGTGGGCAATGTGGTGATTCTTTATGAGAATGGAAGGTAAGGAAGACACATGCACAAACAGTTTCACCTACTCCAGGGCCACACCAGGGCCTCCTGGTCTAGTTGTCCTACTTTTAACGACAATGTAATGTTTATAAATTGATCAAACCAATTTTATATTATGAATTTCACTTTGTTTCTGGAATAGGCAAGATAGAGTAGGTAGTCATGTATCACTTAATGATGTAGACACATTCTGAGCCGTGTGTCATAGGCGATTTCATCATGTGCGAACATCACAGAGTGTACTTACACAAACCAAGGTGGTAGAGCCTGCGACACGTCTAGCTGTATGGTATAGCCGATTGCTCTCAGGCTATAGATCCGTACAGCAGGTTATTATACAGAATACCACAGGCAATAGTAACACAACGTATTTGTATATCTAAACATGGTAACAAAGGTACAGTAAAAACACAGTATTATCGTATGAAACCATCATCATCATATGTGATCTGTAGTCGACCAAAACATGTGGTGCATGACTGTATAATTCTTAATTGGGCATATGAGTAAACTGAGGCATCAAGTGATTCAGTGACTCCTAAATGTTGACTGGTGAGTTGTGGAACCAGGATTAGAACTCTCGCTCTGGTCTATTTCTACTATGTTGCAAATTCTGCTTTTCTGGGTTATGGTTAAGTTTTTGACGTTTATATTATAGTGAAATAGAATTAACTTTGTATCAGTTTAGGGATCCATGAAAATTGCATGCTCAATTTGATGTGCATGTAAGATCCTCCTTATGAGATGACTTACAGTTTTCATGAAGTTGCTAAAAGGGTCTCTGTAACCAAAAAGATTAAGAACGCTGGCGTGGTGTGTCACAATGAGACTGAGGTCAAGTCTAGGGTGCCCTTTTTACGGATTGTAAACCCAGAGAAGATGGATGTCGGGGGTGGGAATCATCTCCTTCTTCAGAGTCAGAGAGCACTGGAAGGTGGTACACATGCTTACAGCTCTACAAGTGCATTCATACAAGCTTAGAACTTTAGATCAAGGAGGATTTTTGATCATTAAACCTGAGGGTCCACAAATCTGGCTACACATTAGAATCATATGGGGAGCTTTGAAAGACACCATGTCTGCGACCAGTCCCCAAGGATTTCTATTTTAATTGTCCCAAGACTCTGGCTCTGTATTTGTTTTTAAAAGCTCCTCAGATGATTCTCATGTACCAGAGTTAGGATTACCGATCTTCTAAATGAGTAATCAACCTTGGCTGAACAATGAAATCACTTGGGGAGCTGTAAGAAGTCCTGTTGCCTGAATCTCACCCTCAGATCTTCTGATTTGTCAGGAGTGTGCCAGGCATGAGGAATTTTTTTAATGACCCCAGGTGGTTTTCATAGGCACTCCAATTTGAGAACCACTGTTGGGATCTAACCTGACACTTTCTGCTGCAAAGAAAACCAAGTCGAAGAGAAGTGGCCTAAGGTCATAGGGCTAAGACAGAACCAGGATTAAACCCAGGACCCAACTCTAGGCTTGGACTCTGCAGTTCACCTAGTCAAGGTCCATGGAGTTAGCTTAGGCAGTTCAGGGTGGATCTGAGAAAGGGAGCTCGTCAGGGACAGGCCTTGCTTCTCTCTTTGATTAGAAACATCTAAACGTGTGTGTGTGTGTGTGTGTGTGTGTGTGTGTGTGTTTGAATGAATGTTGTCCTGCTTAAGGGATGAAATCCCTGTGTTCTGGCCCAGATGCATGGTTCCCTGTGGCCCCTCAGATTGGTAGCTAACTCTATGGGAGACAACCTCTAAGATGAGCCCCAACAATCCATGTCTGTATTCACACCCTTCTGTGATACCTGCAATGGAGTATGGCTAGACCCACAGATTTGCTTCAAATGAACAGAACATGGCAGAAGGGATGTGACGCTACTTCTAAGATTAGAGTATAAAGACGTAGTAGCTTCTGTCTTGCAAACCTCTCGTTTACTTCTTTATTGCTCACTTTGATAGAAGCCAGTTGCCATGTAGCGAGCTGTTCTATGGACCCCCATATGGCAAAGAACTGAGGAAAATTCACTGACCAACACTCAGTAGGTAACTGAGACCCTTAATCCAATAGCTGGGAGGAACTGAATTGCGCCAGCAACCATGTGAGTGAGCTTAGAAGTGGATCTTCTCTCAACTGAACCTTCAGATGAAACAGCAGCTCCAGCCAATAACTGTATTACAGCCTAGTAAGACTTTGAGGCGGTTACCCAATAAGCCATGTCTAGATTCCTGACCCACAGAAACTGTGAGATAGTGTTTGTTGTTTCAAACAACAATTTAAGTTTTGAAGTGATTTGTACGCAGAAATAGATAACTATTACAAAGTCCATGCATAAAAGTTCTTAAGTCATGTTATAGTTGTTGAAACCAAGGTATCAAAAGACTAAATGTATTTTCCATAATCAATCAGGGAAGCAGTGACAAAACAAGAAATGGAGTTTAGATGCCAGTTGATTCCCAGACTTATTCTCTCCTATAAAAAGGTTAGTGACATTTTTCATGAAATAACGCTAGTAGAACCCACGAGATTGGTAGCCATGTTGTCTTCCTTACCTTCCCTTGACTTTCTTTTAAAATCTCTTTATAGAGTAACCGTTGAGCACTGAGCCTTTTCCCCGGAAATATTATTCCTTTAACAATGCAACTTTGTCTGTTTTAAAACAAAGAGATCCCAGGCATTCAGTGTGCATTCTAAAAAGTGAGATGCTGAGACATGGGAGGAAGTGACTTTCAAATAAGCACATAATGATCAGGTAATCTTCTCTCCCTTTCATGCTGAGAACAGTCACAAATTTTTCATTCCTGAGAATCTTGTTCCCAAATTGACAATGCTTCAATAAGCACCTTTTTGTACTTTCTTCTTAATCAAGTAGAAAGAAAAATCATCATAAATACAAGAGGAGTATTTTCCCCTCTAGTCAAAGTGTGTAGCCAGGAGGCCCAGCATTCTTTCCAGAGAGAGGTAGTATGGTTCTAAACTACCACTGAGGCGACTGAGCACAGTATTTGGATAGAAGGATGCTTTGTATCAACCATGCCAATTAAAAAAAAAATCATTGAAGAAATCTAACATGCACTTTAGTAACAGTGAAGAACTGGTAACATTAGGATATATTCTAACACATAAAATTAGGATACAATCTAACCGAATATTAGTAATATCAGGTTAGAGTACTCCCACTTAATAGGAATTGGATATGAGCAGTTCTTTGAGAGAAAACTGAGGATCAGAAGTGTAAACATTTGTCTAAGGCCATAAACTGAGTTTCCACTGGAATCAGGATTTAATTCCACAATGCACTTTACCCTCTTAATTCTGGCTACTATTCTTATCTCAGAGAGAAGACTCATTACCCTTGAAAAACTCCTCCTGAAGGGGTCAATGTGAGAAAGAGGAGGCAGGCCACTTGAACAAATTGTCTGCCATATAGCCACACACAGTAAACAAATCTCACAGAAGCTTCTAAAACAAAAGCAACACTATGAAGAGACAAAACTTAGCTTTACTAATAAGTTAAATCCGAAAAGAAAAAGACAGATCTAGAAGACACTATTTCCAAAACATGTATTCTATAAACTGAAATGGAAATGCAAGTGGCCAGCTTTATTTTATTCTTTCACCGGCCAAGGGGGAGTGATGTTTCATGCAGGGCCACTTTACCACCAAGGACTCTGACCGCTTCTCCGCCTCCAGGACCAGCACTGAGGCCAATTTCACCTTGATTCTGAATGTCTCCCACTTTGGTGTAGGGCCATTTCACCACAGAGGACTCCGACCACTTCTCCGCCTCCAGGAAGAGCACCGAGGCTGATATCACCTCCATTCTGGTGGCCTTCCACAGCAACTCGCTGCTGGACCCAGACATCTTTGCTGAAGTCAGTTGACTGGACAGTACAGTGCAGGATCTGTGTGTGGCGCAGGGAAACGTAAGCCAGATCCAGTACCAGTAGGTGTGGGCCAGAAACAAGATGCTCTGCGTGGTGCCCCCAACCTGCTCCTGTACACCTGGCAGGTGAACAAAACGCTCAACCTGAGCAGCATCTCCTTCCCCATCTATAACCATGGTGGACACCCCTTCTACCTGACCAGCTTCTTCAGAGGACACATCTTTGGGGACAGCCTAGGAATGGGCCAGTTACTCCTGCAGGCCAAAACCATGCAGCTACTGTACTGCCTGAACCCCGAGCACCCTGAGGACTATGTGCAGAGCAAGCAGTGGCTTACCCATTTCCTTGATCAATTTAGCAACATTAAAAACAGCCTGACCTTCAAGAAAATTGAGGTACCTGGTGGTTTGGGTTTACAGGCAGGCCAGGAGAAGGTGGGAGGGATGAGGAAGATTTGCCCCCAGAACCCTAACAAAAGTACTGCATGACTACTTTATAGGGTCCTTGCCTCAAAGCTGGGTTTGCTCTGCTGTATTTGGTACTCAATCCAATTTTCTTAACACTGACAAATTCCAGAAATCATGAATCCCGGGTAACACTGTGGTCGATAACACAAATCCTGTGTCCACCAGATGGGCCGGTTCAGTACGGACACTAATCTTCACATTTAATTTTGGGGTTTGGTTTCTAATCCAATTACAGTACTTTGAAATTCTACTTTTAGTTAAAGTCTTCACTGGCTTTGGGGAGCCCCTTAAAACTTGTTTGGAGCTTGCTGGGATTAAAAAAGAAAAACAAACTTTTAAGTAAAAGTTAATGATGTTAAGGTACTAGCTCAGCATTTTTCAAGTTAGATACATATGAAGCACCCGGCTTAGCGTGAGGCACATGTCAGCTGTTCAGCTATAACTGGGTCAGCAACCCTATTAAGACTTATAAATAGAGGAGCAGTGGTGTTGGCAGCGTCAGGGCACGGCCCAGGCAGAAGCAGCAGCCACAGCGTTCATCCGCCTGTGGAGGAAGAGGCAGCCTTGGCGGGTCAACTGGGTCGCTCCAAGTGACATAATGTCATGATTTTGATGGCTGAAGTGTTTTGCCTTGTGTACATACTAGAGTTTCTTGATGTCTTCATTTGTGGATGGACAGGTTCTTCTGTGTTGCTCCAAATGACATAATTTCATTATTTTGGTAGCCAAAAAGCATTTCCCTTCAGTATATATACCAGAGTTTCCTGATCCCTTCATCTGTGGATGGACAGGTTCCTCCACGTGGTTGCTGATGACAGGGTTTCCCGAAGCTTTATGGCTGAAGAGTATACTGTCATGTATCTAACATGGCAGTTTCTGTACCACTTCATCTGTGGATGGACAGGTTCATGTGATTCCTGCATTTCTGGAAGAAGCAAATACAGAACAGAGCTGGAAGATAAATGCCTAAATCAAATCATTGCAGATTCTCACTGAAGATGAGCTCATAATCCCAAATAATAAAACATATGATCGAGAGAGAAGAGAAAATGTGAGCAACCAGATTTGTTCTATCTGAACAAGAATATAGTAAGCGTAATTAAACAAATTAAGGACATAAAAGTATAAAGTAGAAATCAAGAAGTAGATTTGCAATAGAACCAAATAGAACTTCTAGAAGTAAAATTACACACACAGAGAATCTAAGGCCTGTTGGTCATACTGAGCAGCAGACTGAATACAGCTGGAAAGAATTAATACACTGAAAGATAAAACCAAGGAAATTAACCAGGAGGCAGCACAGAGAGATAAAGCTCTTGTCTAAACATGTCTTTATTTTGTCCTGTTGAATTACTAATTTAGATAGCTAGAAAGAGACTTGTAAGTTTACTGTTGTCTTCCCTTGCACAGTTGATATATTATAGACTTTCTTTTACTGTAAAAAAAAATAAAGACTTATAAATAAGCCTGGTGAAAGAGACACCTGCTGGAAAGAGCCTTCAAAGACCAGGCGCACCTCAAATGATATTTATGCAACTGAAATAGTAAAAGACACCAGCCTAATAAAAATTTACAAAAAGTTATAATTTTTTTTCTTTTCTTTGTTTTTTTTTTTTTTTGAGACGGAGTCTTGCTCTGTCGCCCAGGCTGGAGTGCAGTGGCCGGATCTCAGCTCACTGCAAGCTCCTCCTTCCGGGTTCACGCCATTCTCCTGCCTCAGCCTCCCAAATAGCTGGGACTACAGGCGTCCGCCACCTCGCCCGGCTAGTTTTTTGTATTTTTAGTAGAGACAGGGTTTCACCGAGTTAGCCAGGATGGTCTCGATCTCCTGACCTCGTGATCCGCCCGTCTCGGCCTCCCAAAGTGCTGGGATTATAAGAGTGAGCCACCACACCCAGCCAAAAGTTATAATTTCTACAGCTATTAATGAGAACAAGATATCACAGTTTTAGCCTGGGCACAGTGGCTCATGCCTGTAATTCCAGCACTTTGGCAGGCTCAGGCAGGTAGAGCGCTTGAGCCCAGGAGTTCGAGACCAGCTTGGGCAAACTGGTGAAATCCCATCTCTACTAAAAATACAAAAATTAGCCAGATGCAGTGGCACACAGCTGTAGGTGTCTTGCTGTGTTTTCCAGGCTGGCCTCAAACTCCTTGGATCAACTGATCCTTCTGCCCCAGTCTCCCGAGTAGCTGGAAGTACATCCATGTGAATCCAGAAGGAAACTACTAGAGTTAATAAATTCAGCACAGCTTCAGGATACAAGATCAACACACAAAAATTAGTTGCTTTTCTGTACATGTGCAATGAACAATCTAAAAAGGAAATTAAGAAGGCAATTCCATTTAAATAGCGCTAAACAAATAAAATGCTTAGGAATAAATTTAACCAAGGAAGTGAAAGACCTGCATGCTGAATACTACCAAACATTGGTAAAAGAAACGTAAAAAGACCTAGGTAAATGGAAAGATCCTTAGTTCCTGGGTTAGCAGACTCAATATTGCTAAAATACCAGTCCTATTCAAAACAATCTACAGATTCAACACAATCCCATCGAAATTCTCAGAATCATTCCTCCCCCCAGAAATAGAGAAGCCAATCCCTAAATTCAAATGTAATTGCAAGGAGTCTCAGATGATCAAAATAATCTTGAAAAAGAATAGAGTTGGAGGACTCAGTATTATTCAGCCATAAAAAGGAATGAAGTTCTGATACATGCTACAAGGACGAACCTTGAAAACATTATGCCTAGTGAAATGAGCCAGTCACAAAAAGACAAACATATAGTTCCACTTATATGAAATCTTTAGAATAGGAAAGTTCACAGAGACAAAGTAGATTAAAGGTCAACTGGCAATGTGGGGCTGGTGGTGATGGGGAGTTACCGCAGAATGATAACAGAGTTCCTGTTTGGGGTGATGAAAAATACTTGGGAACAGACAGTTGTGATGGCTGCATGACACTATGGATGTAATTAATGCCACCAAATTATACATTTAAGAGTTGTTATAATAGCATATTTTATGTCATACATATTTTACCACAATAAAATATTTTTCACAAAGAGATTTAACAACTCATAAAAGCTTTTTACCTGAAGCACGATGTGACTGCAAGCAGTCTGATGAGAACATACGCCAGGTGAAAACAAAGGGATCGCTCTCATAGACGTTGCCTCAAATTCCAGTTGTCTGGAAAGCGATGTAAAGTGGACTGCCTGCCATAAAAATGGACTCAGGTAAATAACTTTTATTTCCAGTATTTGTGTGTGAGTTACAAACACTATTGAAACACTTTATGTTAGTGACAAAACAATATGTTAAAATTCAGTAAAAGATCAAAATACATGGATTGTGATTTTAGAAGAGAGAAAATAATGTAGATTTGCTTCTTCCCACAAATCTATGAGTTCCTCGTAAAGTTTCTTTCAGATTCAAAGTTTAAATAAAACTCCTGAATATACAAAATCTGAATTCACAAAAAAAGAAAAAAAGGAGCTCTTGGCTGGGCGCAGTGGCTCACGCCTGTAATCCCAGCATTTTGGGACGTCGGGGTGGGCAGATGACTTGAAGCCAGTTCAAGACCAGCCTGGCCAGCATGGTGAAACCCCACCTCTACTGAAAATACAAAAATTAGTGGTAGCACATGTCTGTAGTCCCAGCTACCCTGGAGGCCGAGGTGGGAGAACTGCTTGAACCGGGGAGGTGGAGGCTGCAGTGAGCCTAGATGATGCCACGGCACTCCAACCTGAGTGACAGGGTGAGACTGTCTCAAATTTAAAAATAAAACAAAAGAGCTCTTCCTTACAGAATTCCAAATAAGGTAAGTAGACAGAGTGATCGCATTTGAAAATATCATCATTTGATAACCACCATAGTTAGAATGGCAGGATCATACATTATCCTTTTTGCTTGTCACAGGCAAGAAGTATCAATGGACGCTAAAATAAGAGGACAAAAAATACGATGAAAAGGAGTACATCTAATATAGTTTCAATGTACCTCTCCAAAAGAAATATATTCATTACAAGGGGAAAAATAATAACTTCACAGATGAAAAAGTTGGCATATATCACCCAATAGTAACCAAACCAGTAAATGGGACAGACAGACACCATGTGCCTCCCGACACTGTGCTTGAGAAACACTTCTGTGGAATTCCTGCCAAAAGCGCATAACCTGAATCCAACCATAAGGACACTCTGGATATATGTAAATTAAAGGGCATTCCACAAAATAATTATTTACTCTTCAAAAATGTCAAGGCCCTGGAAAGACAAAGACTGAAGAAACCATTCAGATTAAAAGAAACTGAAGAGTGGCCAGGCGCAGTGGCTCATGCCTATAATCCCAGCACTTTGGGAGGCCGAAGCAGGCGAATCACCTGAGGTCAGGAGTTCGAGACCAGCCTGGCCAACATGGTGATACCCAGTCTCTACTAAAAATACAAAAATTAGCTGGGTGCAGTGGCACGTGCCTGTAATCCCAGCTACTTGGGAGGCTGAGGCAGGAGAATCACTTGAACCTGGGAGGCAGAGGTCCCAGTGAGCTAAGATCACGCCACTGCACTCCAGCCTGAGCGACAGGGCGAGATTCCAAGTCAAAAAAAAAAAAAAAAACAAAGACTGAAGAGAAATAACAAAATTCAATGTATGATCCTGAACCCCAAACAATTATTTGTCTTTTGCTATATAGGACATTAATGGGACAACTGACAAAATCTGTGCATAGACAATAGAGTTGTATCCATGTTGATTTAAGAAATATACAAAGTATGCAGACATTAAAGACATCATGTCTGCAAGCCTACTCTCAAATAATTCATTTTAAAAAAGAAATCAGAAAAACAGCCAATGCAGTTTTTTAAAAGAATACTGTGTGTGTATGTAGAGAATGATAAAGCAAATGTGACAAATATTAACATTTGGATGGAGTAATTTAGTAGGATACACAAGAATTATTTCTCCTACTTTTACAAATATATGAGTCTGAAAAAAATAGACATACAGTAAACGTAAACAAATAAAGGCAGTTAAGATAAACTATTTGTTTTCCCTAATAATACTGCTAGGATCATCTTTACGATAATCTCATCAGATCATCAAATTTCAAAGCTCGGGAAAAAAAAGTATTGTCTCCCCAAAACCTCCCAATTTACAGATGAAGTTAGTAAGTCGAGATTACACCTAATTCAAGGCAAAGCCAAGACTATTATCTAGCTCTGACTCAGCTCAGCTTCCTTTCAACTATTCCAAGCGGTCTTTTCACTCCTTTACATTCTTGTCTACGGTCTAAACACATGATACCAAAATACTTACCTCTATCTTCTCATATACTCTTATAAGTTAGTGTGACTAACCACTTTCAGGCCATCTAAATTTTATGTTTAAAAGGCATTTAAGTATCATTGCTCCTAACAGTCCTTAATAACTAATATCAATACATATGCAAAGATCAGAATACATGTCAAACACTGCAGCAAATGCTGAACATACAAAATTAACGTACTCTACTGTTAGGTACATGAAGACAGACACCAATTTTATGTTACTCAATATTATAACCCCACCTCTTAGTAACAGTGTATGGCATACAGTAAGTACTCAAATAACTGTTGTATATTGCAAAATAAAAGACAATCCATAATACAGGAAAGAAATGTGTACAGATAATCATAACAACAGTAGTTTTAATAAAGTCTCATGAGACAACAGATAAGGAAATTATTTTCTCTTGGTAAGATCTAGAAAGGCCTCAGAGATTTAATGATACCAAAGTTAAATCTTGAAGGACAAATAAAAAGTCAACAGACATGGAGGTGGTGGGGTGGTAAGAGGAAGGTAGAAGAATTTAGATGAAAAAGCCCCAAAGCAACAAAATATTAGACATTTCTATTGAATTTTTAAACACAGGCTTACCTATTGTTGCTGCAAGTTCTGGATCAAAGGTATCATCTGTGAACCTCAAGAGCAGGCTGAAAGAGATATTAAAAAGACAGGTTAGGAATTAGAATTTTTCTTTCTAATCATATGATAAGTGTGTTCATGATTATTATATCTCGTCACAATTTATTAAATGCAAATAAAAATAACTGATGGAGGCCTGCTCCTAGGAATACTGCCTCAGAGCAGGCATACAGAGAAGAATTAAATTACTAGAAAGGCAATTTAAAAACTGCCAAGAGCGGCCAGGCGCGGTGGCTCACACTGGTAATCCCAGCACTTTGGGAGGCCGAGGCGGGCGGATCACAAGGTCAGGAGATCGAGACCATCCTGGCGAACACGGTGAAACCCCGTCTCTACTAAACATACAAAAAAATTAGCCAGGCGTGGTGGTGGGCGCCTGTAGTCCCAATTACTCGGGAGGCTGAGGCAGGAGAATGGTGTGGACCCGGGAGGCAGAGGCTGCAGTGAGCTGAGATCGCACCACTGCTCTCCAGCCTAGACAACAGAGCAAGACTCTGTCTCAAAAAAAAAAAAAAAAAAAAAAAAAAAAACTGCCAAGAGCAAAGTAGTTTACTATTAAATATATTCCCCATACTCTCCTACACAATCTCCCAAGTTCAAAAGGTGGGGGGTTTTTGTTGTTCTTTTTAACTGTTCTGATGTCCTGAGAAAATTATACTAGCAACATGTCACACTTTAATTGACATGGATGAAAAGGGAAAAAATAAAGTTTCTTGGAATGAGACAAAGTAACTTAAATCTGACGTGTAATCCACTTTAAATTCAAGCACAAACAGAAAGATATCAAAGCCTAGCATTCTGTAACATGCAGTAGGGCTACTGCCTAAGTGGGAAGAAAAGATACAGTAAAAAAGTAAAAAAAAGATCACAGGACAGATTAGGTATACTCAGGCAAACACGAGGTAGGGTTTATAGAAACAAGTAGGCAACTGGAAGCTATTGAAGGCTTTTAAAGAAAGTTATGACAAGAAGTACTCTTTGTTTTGAAAAGTTAATGCCAACAAAAAAGGGAAGAACAATCAACAGAAGTCAACTGCCATGGTTATGGTGGGAGTGAACAAACGACTAAACTTAGGAAATGGTAAGAAACTAGAAAGGAAGGATAAAAGCAAAAGACACCAGATTAGAAGGGTACTCTAAGATTTTCCATCTTCCACAATTATTTTACTTACTATGAAGCAGAAGTGTCAATTAGAAGCTCCTCAAAAATAAAAGCTAATGTTAAAGCCCTAAATTTTAAAATCATTCAATCTTCCCTCGTTAACTTCTACAGTCTGTTCTGTTGATCTTTTATTAATAATATCAAAGAAACAGTCATCAGATGTCTAAAATTATAGAAAAATCTTATGAATATTTCTAATATTCTAATTTCTAATTAGATTGTAATATTCATAAGGTTGTGATTACTGCTGCTAGCGATATGTTTTGTCCACAGAGTATTTCGCAAAACATAATGGCTTCCTGGTAGTTTCCAAACCCAGTGTCATTAATTATATTTGAAGGATTAACTCTACCTTACTTGGTTTTCCTGTGTTTACCATAAAACGAGCACCACAGAATCAAAGTACAACAGGAGAGTCAAATTCTATAATTCTCTATTTAACATCTTAACTATATTTACTTACTTCGAACATAAGTTAGGTGACAACACTAATAAGACTCTAAAATGAAACCTATAAAAATTTTCTTCTCTCCCAATACTCAGTTACCCATAATTTAAGAATAGAAAAGATATGCAGTCACCACAGAAAAGATTACTACGAAAACGTAAGTTAATATAACGTTGTAGAATAGTTGTAATAATAATATTATAATAATAATATAAGTAATAATGATATTGGGTATTATTTATTGAACATATGGCAATGAACACACAAAAAGTCACAGGTTTTTCTCTCATGGTTGCTAATCCTTACAACTGCCATTGTCATTAATGGTACTTTGTCAGGAGAGGCAGGAAATTGGTGGTATGGTGTGAAGTAACAAATTTTAATACAGGCTCTGGGTATACATCAGATCTTAGTAAGGGGTATCCTGGTAGCCCAAAATGTATTCTAAATTCTATGTGTGCATTTTTCTAGGCAGAGTCCATTTCTCTGTTTATTAGACTTTGAAAGGCGCAGAGAGTCCATTTCTCTATTAGATTTTGAAAGGAACTGGCAATCTCAAAATGATTAAGAAGCACCCTTTTTTTTTTAAGAGACAGGGTCTCACTCTGTCACCCAGGCTGGAATGTGGTGGTACAATCTTAGCTCACTAATCCTCCCACCTTAGTCCCCCAAGTAACTGGCATGACAGGTTAGCATCACCATGGCTTGCTAATTTTCTTTATTTTTCAGTTTTTTAGAGGCAGGGCCTTGCTATGTTGCCCAAGCTGGTCTCGAACTCCTGGCCTTAAGTGATCCTCCTTCCTCAGCCTCCTTAGTAGCTAGGATTACAGAATGAGCCACCGCACCTGGTAGAAGCACCATTCTTACAATATTGTATATTTACACCTTCATATTTCAAAGTCAAAGGAGCAAAATGCGTTCCATGCAGAGGTAGAGATGGAAGGAGTAACTACCACCATGGCACTTAGATAAGACCAAATTTAAAACAAACAGAATGTGATTATAACTAGTCTGCATTTCTTTATCTACAAATGAAATTCACCAAAATGAATGGCAAGGCTAGGAGCATAGGAGGGACAGCAATTTACGTAACAGGCCTCTCTAATCCCTTCCAGTTCTTGATACACTCTGCTACCTCTACCTCACCGGGTCTAGCCACAGAATTGGAATCTTACACAGTCAACACTAGATAGGGTTTGAGAGGTATCTGTTCCAACCCCCTCACTTTTGAAATGAAGGCCTAGAGCATTCAAGTATCACACATAAGGCCACACAAGTGGCAGCCCCAGTTTCATAATCCTGATCTCCTGATTACTACCATATACCCTTTGGACTCCAACGCCAAGAAATAAACTAGAAAGTAATCCACTACTTTGGCTTAAAGATACCCTTCATCGTACAATAATTCCCCAACAACATGAGTGCTGTTTCACTTCCACTAGTTTCAGCTCTGTAAAGAAACAGAACAAACTTGGTAAAAACAACCCTTTAAGATCACGTCCATGACAAACGTTTCTGTACTCACTCACTTTAAATATAGACTTCTATTTTAGTGGAGTCATTCTTATCCAGAAAGGTGATTACGTGTTTAACGTTCTTTTCCATAGCATATCACATAGGACAATAATGTATATCTAGCCAAATAAGACAATTTTCTCACTAAATGCAATCCTTTCACAAAAGAGGTAAAGTGTCAACATTTTGCAGTGAGCAATTGATAATCCACCACTACGCATTGAGGGAAAAGTTTAAAAAAGATCAGGCCTAAATACAATTTGTTTCTGGGGAGTGAACTAGAGAGACTGATAAACCCATTTAACAGAACTTACTCTAAAAAGGGACTCTCAGCTGAGTGCCATGGCTCATGCCTGTAACCCCAGCACTCTTGAGAGGCCAAGGCTGGTGGATGGCATGAGCCCATGAGTTTCAGAATAGCTTGGGCAACATAGGGAAATCCCATCTACAAAAAAAATTTTTTAAAGTAGAGCCGGGTATGGTGGCTTATGCCTATGATCCCAGCATTTTGCAAGGATCCATTGAGGGCAGGAAGATCCGTTGAGCTCAGGAGTTCGAGATCACCCTAGGCAACACAGCAAGAACTTGTCTCTATAAAAAACCCTAGCCAGGAATGGTGATTCGTCCCTATAGTCCCAGCTACTCAGGAGGCTGAGGTGGCAGGATCGATTGAGCCCGGGAAGTCAAGGCTGCAGTGAGCCGTGATCACACCACTGCACTCCAGCAGGTGACAGAACAAGACCCTATCTCAAAAAAAAAAAAAAAAAAAAAAAAAAAGGCAGTGGCGCGGGGGGACAGGGAACGAAACTCATTTATATACTCCAGTTAACTTTCTAGAAAATTTTAACCACCCTAACTTGTCACCCATGCAATACATTTACATAAAGTGCTAACCAATTTCAACCCAATTTCATGTATTGGGTTGAACTACATGAAATGACAACCAACCATTCGTGACTTCAAAAATGTCAATTTCATACGTCTGAACTTAAATGAGAACCATGTCAAGGAAAAAAGAGAGAAATGAAAAAGAAAGATCACAAGGTTATGAAATTCCTATTAAGGCAATTTTTATTACATTAACTTTTTAACCCTCAAATATGTACGTGCAATAACAGATGATCATGTAAATAATTTTATTCATCTGTTTTACACACACACACACAAATCATACTGGTTTGCTTACCCATAGTGTTTCATTATTCTATTCCTTGGTATGTGCAAATCCCTCTGACTATAGTAGACATAGAGTACATTAAGTGAGGAGTACTGGAAAAATGTATTGTCAAACTTTAAAAATACAAAAAATTTCAGAATCTATTACATAGTAAGCTTTAAAATCCTGAAGTAGCTAAAAAAGTAAGACTTTGTAATCTTATTTATTTATTTATACTTTAAGTTCTGGGATACATGTGCAGAACGTGCTGGTTACATAGGTATAAAACTTTGTAATTTTATGGTACATGAGGAAAGCTTTCATTCTATTTTGTATAAGGATACCTCAATTTGTAAAATCTTACATGAATAACAAGTTATTTGAAAGATATGTATCAGCCAGGGGCGGTGGCTCACGCCTGTAGTCCCAGCGCTTTGGGAGGCTGAGGGGGGTGGATTACTAGAGGTTAGGAGTTCGAGACCAGCCTGGCCAACATGGTGAAACCCTGTCTCTACTAAAAACACAAAAATTAACTGGGCGTGGTGACACACACTTGTAATCCCAGCTACTCAGGAGGCTGAGGAAGGAGAATCGCTTGACCCCGGGAGGCGGAGGTTGCGGTGAGGTGAGATCTCGCCACAGCACTCCAGCCTGGGCAACAGAGCAAGACTCAGTCTCAAAAAAAAAAAAAAAAGATACGTGTATCAGAAGCTAAAATATGAAACTGATTACAGCTCCTGGAGTGTAAATGCGGTTTAAGGATCAGGACGGCCTTGAATATAACCTACTCATAATCAGAGGGCAAGAATGAATTCATCTGGAGAACTCTGTTCCAAGACCTGGATGAAATCACAACCCTCTAGCAACATCCACCTAGATCCATGTCTTACCTTATACTCAACTCCACTGTCAATATTATTTTCCCCAAGGAAAAAATCAAAAATGAAAAGACAACACTAATCTTTTGTCTCCACAGGATGTGGCAAAATGAGAAATAACAACTACATTTTATTTTCAAAGGTGGTCCGACTGCTTCAGCTGTGGACCACTTACACTAAAGCGAAATTTTCCAGCAGTCACAAGATCCAGGAGTTCTTCCACAGCCCACTAATAAAAAAGTAAAAGAAGCGACATTAGGCTGCGCCCAAACAGGCCAGGAATGGGCCCTAAGGCGTCACGAAACTTCCCCAGGACATTATGTATTTAGAGAAGGCCCCACAGAAACCCTCAATAGGGAAAGTTATGACTCCCGGGTCTCGGGGTGACAGGCAGCTTGAACCCCGAAGAGCTCGAGGCAAGGCGCCCCCCCGGCCAGATTCGGGCCCAAACCAGCCCGCCACGCCCTGAGCTCCGCGCAGCAAACCGGCCGGCGGAGCGGCGGCCCTCCGAATGGTGTTTTCTCGGCGCCACAGGAGGGAGAGCGACCCAGAGAACTTGGGCCTGGCAGAGGCCGGGAACCAGGCGCGCGGGTGGGGCGAGGGGAGGAGAAGCCGCGGGAGAGCGCGGCCCAGAGGCCGAGGAGGGCGCGAGTGGGGCCGACCCCAGCCCGGCCGCCATCGTGGACGCTTGCAGCGGTTGAAGGTTCCCATCGCGGCCCAAGAGACAGCGGCCACGTAGGCAGAAAGAGCCCAGCCACCCTCATCACGGCCCCTACGCCCGCCTCACCTGTACTTGCCCACCCCACTCTCGCCGATGATGAGGCTCTTCAGGGTGCAACACGTCCTTGTCCATCCTGACCCCGCTGCACTCCCAGCCCAGCTGGCAGCCCCAGTGCGCCTCTCAGCTATTCAGCGGCGGGAGCTGCCGCGCATGCGCGCGCTCCATGGCCGCGCACACCCAGAATTTTCCCCCGTCCTTCTGGAAGGCGGGTTCCTTAGGTGTCTTTGCTGCTGCGGTGGGGGTGGGGGTCTAAATCCGCCCCTACCTCAACCCAACTCTCTGTCGTGTCAGTGAGAGAGGACTGAGTCAGGAGAATATCAAGCTGTTTTATTTCAGCAAATGTTCATAACAGCTGTATTGCGGTGTGAAATGCACTGTGCTTGAAGACTGTTACCTTAAATTTAGGTCCAACTCTACCATAATGACTGCCTTGTCATTCTACTCAGCCTTCTGCGCCTTTCTCCATCTCAGAGAAAGACACAAACGCTTCTTTTTTTTTTTTTTTTGAGACGGAGTCTCGCTCTGTCACCCAGGCTGGAGTGCAGTGGCGCAATCTCGGCTCACTGCAAGCTCCGCCTCCCGGGTTCACGCCATTCTCCTGCCTCAGCCTCCCGAGTAGCCGGGACTACAGGCGCCCGCCACTGCGCCCGGCTAATTTTTTTCTATTTTTTTAGTAGAGACGGGGTTTCACCATGGTCTCGATCTCCTGACCTTGTGATCCGCCCGCCTCGGCCTCCCAAAGTGCTGGGATTACAGGCGTGAGCCACCGCGCCCGGCCAGACACAAACGCTTCTTAGAACAACTGTTTCTTATTGTTACGAAGGTTAAATGAGTTACTTAGGGAAGACAGATTGTTAACCACAGTGCTGTATAAATGGTGTGATCAGGCATTAACTTGCTGGCTTCCCCTCTGTTAGAGTGGGGAGCACCCTTTATATGTTAATTCATCTAGAAAGTGAGGTGTAGACTTCAGGTAGGTCAGGTGCATATAAACTTCTGGTGGTGCAACTTCAAACCAACTCTTCCTCCTCGTAAGAACTGCTGCGTTCCAACTGCAGAAAGTGTATGTCTACACCTTGCCTCTTGCACTAAGTTGTAAATCTTAGTGAAGATACCAAACCTCATTCATAAACTTAGCACAGTGCCTGGTACATAGCAGACACTCAATAACCATCCGTAATTTTGTCTTATCTCCTTATACCTGTAGTTAATGTCATATACAATAGATATTTGATTAAAGAATACATACACGTAAAGCTTAGCCGGGTGCTGTGGCTCATGCCTGTAATCCCAGGACTTTTGGAGGCCTAAGCAGGTGGATCACTTGAGCTCATGAGTTCGAGACCAGCCTGGCTAACACGTGAAACCCCGTCTCTATTAAAAATACAAAACTTAGCTGGGTGTGGTGGCGCATACCTGTAATCCCAGCTGAGGAGGTGGAGGGAGGAGAATCGCTGGAATCTTAAGAGGTGGAAGTTGCAGTGAGCAGAGATCATGCCACTGCACTCCAGCTTGGGCGACAGAGTGAGAGATACCGTGTCTCAAAAACAAAAAATAAAATGTAGAATAAGTTAAGAAATTACTTGTTAAATACCTGGAAAAGCTCTTTCACCAGATATCCAAATGGCTTCTTCGTCTACTTCAGATCTTTGCTCAAATATTGCCTTCTTAAGGAGGCCTTCCCTGCCCATCCTACTGAAATATACAGATTCCTCCAGCATCTCTGAGGAATCCAGAAGCCTGGCATGCTGGCAAAAGGGTCAGAATTTCTTACCCGTCAGACTTCTGTCCTTTTTCTCTGTGCAAATCAGTTGAATGAATAGTAAAAATCACCGTTTATCTCCTCCGTAAAGTTTTGATTAATAGAATGAAGGATTCGTGAGGCTAATCTTAAGCTGTAGTGAATCTAGTGTGCTTTGTATGTCTTTCTGTGTTCTATAATGGAGGGGGTAACTTAGGACAGAATACAGGCTTAGGAAACCTGTAAGCCTGCTTTTCAAGATGGCCCAGCAAATTGGTCAGTTACAAACTTTGCTGCAGGTCTCTGAAAAAAAAAACTGGATGAGGTTTCCCTCTTGTCTTGTATCTTCTTGTGAGAGGTGAAGCCCACTGGGCTTCTGGGTCTGGGAGGGACTTGGAGAACTTTTCTGTCTGGCTAAAGGATCGTAAACACAGCAATCAGCGCTCTGTGTCTAGCTAAAGGTTTGTAAACACACCAATCAGCACTCTGTAAAAATGGACCAATCAGCACTCTGTAAAATGGACCAATCAGTGCTCTGTAAAATGGACCAATCAGCAGTACATGGGTGGGGCCAAATAAAGGAATAAAAGCCGGCCAGGGAGCCAGCCACAGCAACCCACTTGGGTCAGGTTGCATAGTGTGGAAGATTTGTTTTTTGCCTGTTTACGATATGGCTTGCTGCTGCTCACTCTCTGGGTTTGCACTACCTTTATGAACTGTAACACTCACTGCGAATGTCTGTGGCTTCACTCCTGAAGTCAGTGAGACCACGAACCCACCAGGAGGAACAAACAACTCGGATCATGCCACCTTTAAGAGCTGTAGCACTCATTGTAAAGGTCTGCAGCTTCACTCCTGAAGTCAGCGAGACCATGAACCCACTAGAAGGAAGAAACTCCAGACAGATCTGAACATCTGAAGGAAAAAACTCTGGACACACCATCTTTAAGAACTGTAACACTCACTGTGAGGGTCCACGGCTTCATTCTTGAAGTCAGGGAGACCGGAAGGAACCAATTCTGGACACATTTTGGCGACCCAGGGACTACCGCCTATTGCCAAATAGTGAGTACCATTGGACCCCTTTCGCTTGCTATTCTGTGCAATTTTTCCTTAGAATTTGGGTGCTAAATACCAGGCACTTGTTGGCCAGTTAGTTGCAAGTGACTAGCGCCGCCGCCAGACTAAAGACACGGGTGTCAGGCTTTCTGGGAAAAGGCTCTCTAACAACCCCCGACTCTTCGGAATTGGGAGTGTTGGCTTATCTGCTTTCACTTTTCCTGTACTTCTGGGCTGAGCCAAGGGTCGACAGAGAGGAAAGCCATTCAGCTCCAGGGTCCGACAACAAGTTGGTTGACCCTGCAGCCATGAGCAGAACTCTCAAAGTCATGTCGCCCAAGCGAGACTTGCCCATCTATCCTATCTATCCTGACCCTTGCCTCCGGGTCCTAAACGTCTGTCTGACAAACTTCCTCTTGCCTCTCTTCTCCGAGGCTAGTCCTGCTTCTAAAAACTACTCCCTGTCTCTGGTGCTTTTCTAGTTTCTCCTATAAGAATGATTTCTTGTATAAACTTCAGGACTCTGTTACCTTCTTTAGGCACATGGGCCCACTAATCAGAAAGACATAATTTTTGCCCAAAGCCCTGTCGGGGCTGGGGACTACCTTATCTGGAATTTTAGGATCCCTCCTCAGCCTAGCAGGCCTCACAAAAGCTATTCCGGAAGCTAGGATGTGGGGAGCTTCAGAAATGATATCCTTCCTATTCATATAAGCGAGGACAAAAGGCGTCACTCTAAGGTTGGAACCCTGGAGATCCCTTCCCTCCCTCAGGGTATGGCCCTCCACTTCATTGTTGGGGCATAACATCTTTATAGGACACAGGTAAAGTCCCAATACTAACAGGAGAATGCTTAGGACTCTAACAGGTTTTCGAGAACGCGTCAGTAAGGGCCACTAAATCTGATTTTTCTCGGTCCTCTTTGTGGGCTAGGACAGGCAAGGGTGCAAATTTTCAAGAAAGCATTGGTAAGGGCCACTAAATCTGACATTCCTTGGTCCTCCTTGTGGTCTAGGAGGAAAACTAGTGTTTCTGCTGCTGCATCGCTGAGCGCAGCTATTCCAATCAGCAGGATCCAGGGACCATTGTGGGTTCTTGGGCAAGAGGTGTTTCTGCTGCTGTGACGACGAGCGCAACTATTCCGATCAGCAGGGTCCAGGGACCATTGTGGGTTCTTGGGCAGGGAGAGAAAGAAACCAACCAAAACCATGGGCAGTTTGTCTTTCAGGGGAAACACTCAGGCATGAACAGGCTCACCCTTGAAATGCATCCTAAGCCACTGGAACCAATTTGACCCGCAAACCCTGAAAAAGAGGTGGCTCGTTTTTTTCTGCACTACAGCTTGGCCCCAATATTCTCTCTGATGGGGAAAAATGGCCACCTGAGGGAAGTGTAAATTACAATACTATCCTGCAGCTTGACCTTTTCTGTAAGAGGGAAGGCAAATGGAGTGAAATACCTTATGTCCAGATTTTCTTTTCATTGAAGGAGAATTCACAACTATGCAAAGCTTGCAATTTACATCCCACAGGAGGACTTCCCAGCTTACCCCCATATCCTAGCCTCCCTATAGCTCCCCTTCCTATTAACGATAAGCCTCCTCTAATCTCCCCCACCCAGAAGGAAATAAGCAAAGAAATCTCCAAGGGACCCCAAAAAACCCCATGCTATCAGTTATGTCCCCTTCAAACTGTAGGGGGAGGGGAATTTGGCCCAACCTGGGTACATGTCCCTTTCTCCCTCTCTGATTTAAAGCAGATCAAGACAGACCTGGGGAAGTTTTCAGATTATCCTAATAGGTACATAGATGTTCTATAGGGTCTAGGGCAAACTTTCGATCTCACTTGGAGAGATGTCATGCTGTTGTTAGATCAAACCCTGGCCTTTAATGAAAAGAATGCAGCTTTAGCTGCAGCCCGAGAATTTGGAGATACCTGGTATCTTAGTCAAGTAAATGATAGAATGACAACTGAAGAAAGGGACAAATTCCCTACCAGTCAGCAAGTCGTCCCCAGTATGGATCCCTACTGGGACCTTGAATCAGATCATGGGGACTGGAGTCTCAAACATCTGTTGACCTGTGTTCTGGAAGGACTACGGAGAATTAGGAAAAAGCCCATGAATTATTCAATGATGTCTACCATAACTCAGGGAAAGGAAGAAAATCCTGCCTTCCTCGAGTGGCTACGGGAGGCCTTAAGAAAATATACTCCCGGCTGGCACGGTGGCTCACGCCTGTAATCCCAGCACTTTGGGAGGCCGAGGCGGGCAGATCACAAGGTCAGGAGATTGAGACCACAGTGAAACCCCATCTCCACTAAAAATACAAAAAATTAGCCGGGCACGGTGGTGGGCA